TCCATCAAACCTAGTCCATTCGATTCAGAATTTAATTCTGCATCGAATGGTCGTATTTTTATTCACCGGACAAACTTTGGAAAAAAATTATCGGAAACATAAATAGACCTATATGAGGCAAACAAAGATGTGGTTAAACTTTTTTCCAAAGTTTGCCCGGTGAATAAAAATACGACCATTCGATGCAGAATTAAATTCTGAATCGAATGGGCAAGGTTTGATGGACCGGACAAACTCTGGAAAAAAGTTTTTAGCTTACACACAGTTTCTTCGTGCTAGCTTCACACTGATTTTGATACTCTATGTTTTACGTTGTAACTCTGTTGTATAAAGACATATTTCTGGTTCATTAATAAACGTTTGGATATTGTTATCTTATTTGAGTATAGTTATAGATAATATCGTGCAACAGGATTCCGTATGAAGCTTCAATGTGTGAAGTGCATTTCAACATCACTTAAAAATGTCCTGGATGAGAATGATGAATTTTCAGATCTACCATTGAATCTGATTTTAGTCTATTGTGATCTTCTTGATTTGACTGTTGGATTATATCAACAAGTTTTTCAAGATTTATTTGAAATATATATCACTTATAGATTTGGAAATGTATTAAAAAATATTAACGATATACTATAGAGGTCTCCGATGGGTAAATAAGATGTATTTATAAGCAGCAGGTAACAAAAATGTAGTGATTTAGAGAAAAAGAAACGAAAGAAAAAGCACGTGTATGACTCATTATTTTATTGCAAACGACGCAGTAAGCACAAAAATGTTATACTTTATATAAATTCACTTTCAGCTTTCTGATATTTCTTTTTTTATTTTATTTTTGATTATAATCGTTCACTAAACGGTAAGGAAATAAATTTTATTTGATTTTTTATTAAAAAATCACTAAATGATTTGTATTCATACATCTATTTAAAGACATTGACAAATATCTTATGAATCAAAGTGAAAGAATAGAAATGATTCTTCCATGTGAATTGAATGAAAATAGAAAATTAAGAAAGAGAAAAAAACAAAATAATTCTTTGACTTGTATTGTTTGTGGATCATCAGCAAATGGATATAATTTTGGTGCAATTGTTTGTGAAAGTTGTAAAGCTTTCTTTCGTCGTCATGCAAGAAAAAAATCGGTAGATTTGAAAAGAAAAAGATTCTTTTTTAAAATTTATTTTTAATTAAGAATTCTTTTCAATGTTCTCGTGAAAAGAATTGTTCAATAACAATTGAAACACGTCGTGATTGTCCTGCTTGTCGTTTATCAAAATGTTTTAATAAAGGAATGAAATGTGATCGACTTTCAACAGTAAGAGTTTTTTTAAATATAGAAAACTGAATTTCTCTTCTTAAGATCGAAGAAAAACAAATAAAACGTAATCAATTGGAAGAAAATCGATTATTAACATTAAATTCCCGAAATCCAGTTCAATTATTTCAATCAATCAATACAAATAATTTTTTCATAAATTTATTTCATTTTCAATTTAATCAATCTGAACAAATATTACTTAATTCAGAAGATATTCAACGTATAGAACAAATTTCATTTTTTTATCAAAATCGTATTGAAGATGGTAAAAGAAAAATCAATTAGTTTTTTTTTAAATCTTTTTCTTTTAAAGCTAATCGTGAAGGTTTACCATGGAATCCATCAATTGACACAAAAAGTCATCTAGATGTTCTTAATAGTTATTCCGTATCAATAATGAGACTTTTATCATTTTTTAAACAAATTCCTGAATTTAATCAATTAAATGTTGATGATAAAGTTTATTTAATAAAATATAATATAATAACAATTCTTGGAATTAATTATTCTCTTTCATTTAATATTGAAAGAAAAGAAATTCTTGAAAATAATAATGATTTACCAATGAATATTCAATATTTTCAAGTATTACATGGATATGATTTATCAAAAAGATCTTATAAAATCTTTCAATCATTTATAAATATTGCAAAATATGATGAAAAAATCTTTGAATTAATTCTTATAATAATTCTTTTAACAAAATTTAATTTAATAACAAATGAAAATAATCAAATTTATTTTCATAATGATTTATTAATTTATCATTTACAAAAATCTTTTATTGATTTATTATGGAAATATATGCAAAGTAAATATGGATTTCAAAAATCTTTTCAATTATTTACTCAATTTATTTTCAATTTTCTTTCTTGGCAAATTATTCAAGAAAATATGAGATTAAATATTCTTCAGACATTATCTCCTGATGATATTAATCATTTATTACCAATTATGAAATCTGTTTTAAGAATTTCTTAACTTTTATATTTACTATTTTTTATTCGACGATTGAATACATTGAGATTGTATTAGAATTATACATTGTGTTCTCTAGAGTTAAAGTTGAAACGATGAAAATTTTCGTTCAAATTTAAGAAATGGATTAACTGAATATTTATTATGTATTTTTTGTTTTTACTTTACTGATAATTGTGATCGTATAATTCTAACAACGTAAGATAACGGTGAATTTACTAAATGAAACATAGCTGTCATAATGTCATTACACTGGGTATCCAGACCTTAACGTATAAATATCGAACAGGGTAACCAAATGCATACAGGCAGACAATCTAATTATCCAATAACCAAACTATGTCATTCACAGCCTGAGGAATTTGAGTGAATTTGGTCCGATGATCTCGTTACCGGATAATTTTATCAGGTGCTTCAATAATTTCATTATACCACGTGAGGGTGTAGGAAAGGTCCGGCCAGAAGGCAGAGCACAAAGTGAGGGTGCTGCAAAGCATCTGCGAATATCTAGGGAAGATCCTGGTTCAAAATCAGAAAATACCTCCAAATAAAGCGGATAAGGTCTCTTCATCTTCACATTAAACTTGCTCACCAAACGTCCTTCCAATGTTGGTCAATTTGATCTCGAGGATTTCGACGGAGTTGAGCAGTTTCCCTATGAATATAGGTAGGTATGCGCTAAAAACCGAATTCATTCCAATTGCTCAAATTTCGAAATATATTATCATACATCTTTCCGTTACCCATCGGGTAATGACCAAATTCACTCAAATTCCTCAGCTCCTAGAAGACACTTTGTGCTGTTTCAAAAAGGATACCCGGTGTAATGGTATTATGACATCACTCAAATGAAAAGAAAAATAGAAAAAGAAATACATAGAACATCAGTAAAAATAAAAATGAAGAGAAAACAACAACTTGAATAAGAAATATTAGGAAAATATTGGAACAATATATCTATTCGAATGATAATTCATCTAGTACATGTGCAAAGAAGATTTTATTTCATTGAACACAATAATGTCTACTGTATATTATATATATAAAACTAATGTATGATTTGTTTACTCACCTATTTAAACACCATCAAAATATAAACATATGAAATTACTTTTATAATGATAATATTATAGAAAATGTTTTTTATTTATATTTCAATTATTTGGGTGAAAATTTCCGCAGTTAATGCATCCTCGTAGTACTCATTGTTTCTTTATAAATAAATGCGTCCTCGCAGGACTCTCACCTTTACCGTACTCGTTCTTTACTTTATAATATAGAAATGAGTAATAACAAATATAAAGCAATCTTTTCATCTTATATAAATGAAAGAACATTAAAACATTCAGTTTTATTTCGGATTTCTTATTTCTTAAGACAAATTTTACGGCTGGCAATAATTTATTTTAAAAACAATGTATTCAAAATATTTGATTTATTTGTTAAATCTTATATTACTTTCTTCAAGAATATCATTATCAATATCGGATATTCCAATAATTCATATTCCAATATTATTTAATTATACTAATGATATTATTATCAATAATAATACATTTCCAATTATTTTAAATTATTCAAATCCTTTAACATCTTATATTATTTTTGATTATGTTGATAATGTTGGTGGATTTCCATTTTTTGATATTGATCAAATTAATGGAAATTCTTCTCTTCGAGTATCGTATTCAGAAGCATTACCTAATATAATTGATGGGGATGTGGAATTTTATCCATTAATACGTTCATTTGATCCTTATCGAGTCAAAACTTATGAAATAATAGCAAGTTCAAATCATATTGAAAGTCCTCTTATTCAAGGTGCACAAATATATCAACGTATAACATTAACAAGTGGAGGTAGTATACGTATCAATAAACTAGGTATTAAATCAGCATATTATACAAAGGAAATATCTTCCGCACCTGGATCTTTTTCATGTAGTTCAGAATTATATACAAAAATGTGGAAAATGGGCGTTCGTACTTTACAAATCAATATGATTCCTGCTCGAACTGTACCTTCAGGATTTATTGCAACGGAACAAGGTTTTTTTCTAACAGAAAATCAAGCTGGTGTTTATTTACGAGGTATGCAATGGATTAATTATACAGTTACATTCTCGACAATGATTGTTAAAAGTGGATGTTCATTTGCTGTACGTTCAAATGATTATTCAGAAATTGTAATTACGATCAATTCAAATGAACATTTAAATCCAAATACTTTAATTGTTAATACACGACAAGAATTACCACCACCAGATATTTTTATCTATAATATAACTTTACCTTTTAATATATCTCTATTAAAATGGTATAAGATTAAAGCAATAGTTCAAGGTTTAACAATTGAACTTTCAATCAATGATAATAATGTTTCTACAATTTCATTACCAGAATCTTCAAATCCATATATACCATCAATGACACCAGGTGGTATTGCTTTTACAACTTCAAATAACCAAGAGACATTTTTTCGTGATCTTCAAGTAGTTGATCTATCGTCAAGTAACTTCGGAAGTATACTCTATCAAAGTTCACTTACTTCTCAACAATCAGTCTACGACTTTGGTGTAGGTACAAATGAATTACCTATTATTTTAGATGGTGCTAAACGTGATCGAAATGTCTGGTCAGGAGATTTATTAGTAGTTGGTCCAGTACTTTATTATTCTTATTATGAATCAAAATATGTTGCCGGATCATTAGCACTTTTAAATAGTTATCAATTGAAGAGTGGAATAGTATCATCAAGAGTTAATGTTGGATTTCCTCTTCAACGAAGTGATCCTACCGATGAATTTGTTGGTCCAATCTTTTATAGTTATACATATTTTCTTGCCAATTTAATTAGTGTCGCTGAATATTATCTTTATACAGGTGATATTCAATTTGTAAATGATCAATGGCCTCGAATGCAATTATTAATGGAGTTTTTTTCAGCATTAGTTGATACAAATAATCTCATTGTTGTTACAAATCCAATATGGGGTTATGATTATAATCCTTCTTACGGTATATACACTGGAAAATTTACCAAATTAAATATACTTTATGCTATGGCATTAGATGATGCGGCATTTTTAGCTGATGCTATTAATAATGTTACTGCAGCTATTCAATATCGACAACAAGCTATAGCTGTACGAAATGCCATCAACACATATCTCTATAATTCTACTAGTAATTATTATATGATATCTGATCAGAAAACAATCGGTATAAGTCAAGATACTAATTCATTAGCTATTCTATCTGGCATTGCGTCTCAATTAGGTCCGAATGTATCTGAGCAATTACTTGAACAATTAAAGCAAAAACTACGTTTATCAGGTACTAATGGTAGTGGATATTTATCAACTACTTCGGATGGAATTCCACAAGGTACTTCTGTCATTGTTTCACCATTTATTTCATTTTTTCATGCAGCAGCTGCTTTTGAACAAGATAGAAGTGATCTTGCTTTTGATATACTTGAATCTGTTTGGTCACCTATGGCACAACCAAGTCCTTATTTTACTGGTACATTTTGGGAATCAGAACGTCCAATTAACTATCCAGGTGCTTCTACAAGTATGGCACACACTTGGAGTGCTGGTATTACTCCACTTCTATCTAAATACGTTCTGGGAATCAAACCAATATCTCCTGGATATGCAAAATGGTTGATTCGTCCTCAACTAGGTAATCTTACATGGGCTTCAGGAAGTGTTTGTACACCTTACGGAATTATAACAGTTAAATGGAATAATAGCAATTCTCAATTCAAAATTACAGTCGATATTCCTCTCAATACACGTGGTACTGTATATGTTCCTACCGGACGAAATTGTATCAATGTTAATGAAAAAATGTTCCATATGGAATCGTATGACAATTCTGTGCATGGTGTAGATAGAATTACAAAAAATGGCAGTTATATTGAAATTTCTATTGTCTCATCTGGATCATACACAATAATTGCGAATTCTGTTTGTAATGCTGTCTCTAGTGCTTTTATTCGTTCTTCAATATTGTTTTATTTGATATTGTCTTTATTCATAATATTATCTTAACTTGACATCGAATTAAAGATTTACTTTTATTTATATATTATTCTTCATTCATAAAACTTCACAATAAATACATACATATCAACATAAACTTGGTAATTGTGCGTTTATTGATTCTTTTTTATATCGGTATTTTTTGTTCAAAAGAACGATACACAATGTGAAAATTAATTGAAAATAATCACATTTTCAGATTTTATATAACGAGAATAATTGTTGGATTCGTGACAAATTTAGTAACACTTAACTATATCGGGTTAACCAAAATAAATGAGTCACTCAGTATTTTTCAGATATTTCATTCATACTTCGGAGCCTAAGAAGATTTTTTTTATGAAAAGACTCCTCGTCAAATTCTCTACAAAATCTAGTTCTTTTTATTATTTCAAGCAGTCTCCATTATTTTGAGACATACGATACAATCGATTTGTCCAAGACCTTCAACTTTCAAACACAACATCTTGTCGAATTTTTTTCACTGCTTTTTTTAATTCTTGGATCAATGTTGCTTTAGATGTCACTTTATTCCAGATGATGGCTTTCGCGAATTCATCCCAAACACAGTAGTCCAATGGATTTAGATCGGGACTATTCGGAGGTCAATGGTCTTTATCGATGAATGATGGAAAATCGTCGTGACACCATTGTTGTGTCAAACGATGAGTATGTGGTGTAGCACCATCTTGCTGGAATGTCCAGTCATTTCCAAAGACGTGGTTTCCATATTTAAGTGCCACTGGAAGTACTTCTTTGATGTATCGGTCATGGCCGAGTTGGCCTTTATCCAATATCACCATAGGAGATACACCAAATTCACATGCAACTTTTGTAGTTGATAACTTTTGTCGTTGCAGCTTTTGCTTGAGCTTCTTAATATTCACATCAGTTCGAGCTGTCCGTGGACGACCTGGTTGTAACGACAAACTGGTTGAGTAGCTGACCGCTTCTCACGGTATCGATGTTTATTGACTACTCTACATGACCAGAATGTATCTCTTTCACAATAAGACAAGCGCTTATATAGAGAAGAGGAAAGAGAGATATGACCCGGAGATAGTACGATATAGAGGTGAGAGAATAAAGAACAGAAAGAGATGAACGATATCATTATCGTTACTGTCACGTCTTGCTATGCGAAGGTCAAGGAATTATATATTCAGAATATATAATTAGAAAGATCTTTATTCTTGAATAAAGATATAGAGAGACAGGAAAGAGAACAAGTTCGAGAGAGAGAACTATCCGACACACATATATAGAAAACATGAATATATAGATACGTGTGTAAAGGAAAAGTCCAACAACGCACAAGGAAAATACATAATGACGTCATGTGTGTGTGGATAATCCCATACTACATCACAGTTACAGTACCGTCGAGTAATCATTACTGAGAATATAATACTCACATTCCCTTCGCACTTTTTGGTAGAGCTGTGATTATTGAATAATTCTTTATAGCATGTCTCGCGTCAAAGAAGTTCGTCTTTATGGAAACGGAAAAGCTTTTGTTGCAACTCATCATGTGTTTTGTGTGCTTACGACAGACGATGGCAGATATCATTTGTTGGAACTAACCAACGGCCATGGATCATCATCGTCTGGCAGTTCCGGTTCACGCATATTCAGCTATATTCAAATTCACCAGGCATCATCAGGAACATTGGACGGTGTACTGAAGCTTCGATCCAACACTGATGAGGATGCAGAGCGGTGGGGAGCAGTAGAAAAGACGAATACATCATGGATAGAGGTTCAAGCGGTTGTTGATGATTACAATGGTAAGAGTTATGATGGTATTTTTAGAAACTGCCGGACATTTGTTAATAAAATACATGAAGTTTGTGGTTCAGAAAAGCGTTGTCACCATTGATGAACATTTGTTCATTGTCCTATTTTCTCATTTGAGACATCCTCGATTTCTTTCGTGTTACGATAATCGTTTTGTGTACCGCTAGTTTTTTTTTCATGTTTACAATTTGAGTAATCTGTGAAGAAATATTCTATTTATACAAGAAATAAATACCTCTGTCTTTGATCAAATTTCATATTGTGTCACCTGAAAACCTTGACTCAGATGATTTTACACTAAAATTCTGTCTATTCTGCCGAGGAATTTACAAAAATTCTTGTTAACAAAGCGTATCTGTGAATAATTTCTATGCTACAACCGTGTATGGCAACTATATTCAGGATGTGAATGATGATCTCTTTTCTTCACTCTCCCATATACGCCAAGTTTTCTCTTTGTTGAATATTATTGTTTTTGTCTATCGGCATCTCACTGCAGGTCACTTCTCTTTGCTGTCCGTTATATATAAAAGCCCTGGCACATTATTGATTCAATGCACTGTTATCGACTAAGCATTCTATCTCATATGAATGTGTCTTCTAAGGATAAAATCCTTTTTTTAATACGCAGTTAGAACAAAACGATATTTTAATAAGTCAAGCAATTCTAAAAAGCGGACTAAGCACTTTTTTTCATAAAAACCGATCATCTTCGGTACGCTGAACAGATTCTGATAATCACTACCATTATTCCGGTAGGTTGCTTTCGTGAAAATAGCTACTTCATCAGACCAATGAACACTTAACATATACAACAATTTAGCTGAAAACTTACACATCATGGCCGACCCACAGTATGTTATTTTGATTACACAAATCCCCATTCTTTCCGTCGTGATTTTATTGTCACTTATGTATCTATTGCCCATCATTTTCATCGAACGTTTTCACACTACAAATAATATTTTGACAGGAAACTTTTGTTTAACATCTTTCATAGCTTCCATTCATTGGATTATCAATAAACTCATCGCTATAGTTAGTCCCGAGATAAGTTATTCTGCTCCTATCATGTGTACACTTACAAATTATTTCGGAATTTTTGTCAATTGTTTACTAGTTCATTCGATAGTCATAGTTACGATTAGCAGATGCTTTGTAACTCTTTATCCGACGAAAAGATCGTTCAAAAGTCGTAGTTGGGCGTATTTATCATCGATTATTCAGTGGGTATTCACTTTCCTTTCGGCAATTCCAATTCTAGTTTATTATTACCAGGTAAAATCAACACAAGAAAAACACAAACGTTTCTTCATTTTATCTGCAGGTCTGTTTCTTCTACAACGACCACGGCGACGATCATTGGGTTTGGATATACGTGTTATGCATTTTAGTCGTAATTCCAATGGTCTTTATCTTGATTTTTAATTCGATTATTTTTGTCTTTGTTCGATCATCCACTCGACGTATCCGTCAAGCAAAAATCGCAACAACCATACCTGGATCCGCTACTTTATCCCAACAACATACTCGAGATGTGCACCTACTCAAACATATACTTTTCTTGTTTGTCGTATTTATTTTAGGATGGGGACCTCTTTATATTATTGTAATTTTGCCAGATTATATCTTGGCAGCATTGCCATCATGGTTACCTCTTCCCCTACAAGTTCCGCCTGCAATCAGTTGTATGGTTCAGATAGCCGATTTATTTATTTACAACCGCGAAATTCGGCAGTACTTAAAGCAACAAATCTACCATTGTTTGCATTTAGCTTGAAATTGGCTCAAACAAAAACTGTAGAAAAGAAAATATTTTATGATGTCGAACGTAACATAACTTGTTGTTGTTGTTATTTAGATAGTTTTCGTTTTAAAACAGCGCTCAATAATCAATCATAGTGTTGGACGTTGCACTTATCGATATTGTGAGCAGGACGAAAATATTCTTTTTGCAACGTTGTCGTTTATCTACGCGCCATGTAACGCAGCTCATTCAAGCATATGGAAATGAAAGACTAAAGCTTGAAAGTGTGATATAAATGAACAAATTAAATTTAGTTTGTCATCTATGTGGAAATAAATGAATGAGTCAGGATCTAAAGCGTTTTTTTTTTCTACAGCACTAATGTATAGCATTTCAATGCTTGCAACTTTGATGATTGATATGGTATGTTGAGCAAAGCTTTTGCTTATTCGCGTTGTATTACAATTCGAATATCATCGATTTCAGTTTGTTGGCTTCTGTTTGATCCTCGAATTGATCTCACCCTAAATAATAATCGATTGGCTGTTAATCTTCGATATAATAGCCGTAAGAGAAAGCGTTGTACCTGATGTGCATTTATTAACACGGTCATCGTAACATGTATATATGAAATAACGACGACGCAGAAGCTGCTTCTGCTGTCTTTGAATCCTCTGTACATCTAAAACAAATGTTTCTTGGTTGAATTTTGATCCTTTCGTCTTACGTTTCAATTGATTTCTTTGCAACATTATCCGTTGTATCGAACCGTAGTAAATACTCTATTATATATAGAAAAACAAACGTTTCTACAAGTTCTGTTGTCTTTCGTCAGATGAGACACATGTATATCTTTCTAGAGATACTATATATCACCATTAGCTGTCACTTGTTCTCTTTCCTGCTTCTTCTCCTCCTAACTATCGAGAGAAACAGTCGTCATCTATCAATGTATCAGCAGTAATTCATATGAGATATTAACATAATATGCTGCCTCGGATGGGGGGAAAGAGTTTTCGACTGATTTTTTTTACTTATTCTGTGTATCTTAATTGCTGTATAATTCCGTCTGACCGCGAAATGAAGACACATGTGGAAAAATGAAGGAAACAAGATTACTTTTGCCATAATTATATTTGTGATAATCTAGACGCCAAAATGGCTCCTCACAAGAGAAAAGGAAGAAATTTATGATGATAATAGTTGTTTTTTTATCTTTCAGATGGACAATTTTATGGTGAAAATGAACGTTGTCTTTCTACTACTTATATCGATGTTCAGATTGAGAGCATTCGCGATGAAGTATGAATCGAAGGAAGATATTCATGACTTCAAAGTAGCACTTAGCGATCATTTTATTGTCGGCGCTTCGAATCTTCGAAAAACTTATATCTTCTACACAATATCCAAAACAACTCATAACTCTTCATGCATCGTTCATAATCCACACGTTGATCTGAATATCTATGGCCTGCGGATCTTAAAAATGAAGAAAAAGAATGTCGTCTCTTTTGTTCAACTGGCCGAAAATAAAAAGACGAAATCTGCTGTTCTCTCTCGTATCTCCATGAATTTGACAGCATGCGACAGCGCCCGACAATCGCAGCCTGTCTTTCATCATACGACGGTTTGGCACGATGATCATCAAGAGCATATGTTTCTCAAAGTTGATCCACAAGAAAAATACGCGTATATATTTGCCGATTCGTTTATACTCTCATACGATTTGTTTACCGATCGAATCAATCAAATCAACAGAACTAATTGGATTATTTTCGGCAACGACTACGGATCGTTTACTCCCTATGCATTCGATCTGAAGAACGATTGGGCTGCAGTAGCCGGATTTCATACAACTCAAAATAATTCTCGAAGTAAACAGTGTCTCTATCTATTCGAATTACAGCCATTACGTGTCATTAATGTCAGTTCTATCGGTACGAATGACATTCAAGGGCCGGAAAGGATTAGAGACAATCAAGATTATGATATGTCACTTTCGATTAATCCATCGGGAACGACATTAGCTATTGGCGAAGTGCAATCAAATAAAGTAACAGTCGCGTATATGGATGGAAATAAAACGTCACGATTTGTTGCGAAGTTTCATGAAATTACGGAACCGGAAACGTGGAGTGGTTTTGGCCGGTCAGCGATTTGGCTGAATGACGATGAAACGCTTGCGATACTTGTGCTCAAAGCAACGAGTCATAACACATCACAGTCGGAGATACAAGTCTACAGGAACGTCGTTCGTAGTCGAGCTCGTGGTGCAATTATACCGAGTTTTATCATTCCGAATATCCAACAGACATTGGATGGAATACATCGATCAAAATCTTGGCGTAAACATTCTTTCCGCCGTATTCGAACTCGTTCGAAAAATTTATTGATTTTACTAAGAAATGGTGACATAGTCTATATTCCATCCGCTGAAGTTGGCTTTTGTTCGCGGAAACTCGAAGCAGTCGATTCTCAAAGTCTGTATGTTCTGCAACCAATGCCATGCGTAAGTGGATCTTACAAAAATACATCAGGTCCTGGTCCGTGTACGGTTTGTCCACCGGGCACGAAAAATTCCGGCGACCGTCCGTCGATCCAATGTCAGCCATGTAATTCGACGGCATTTTGCCCATTGGGTGCCAGCGACGAGGTGAATTTAACTGAGTTTAGTTCTTATATTCAAACATACAGTTATCCGGATACGCCTACTATCGATGATTACGATGATCTCTTATTACTGAACTTTTTTCCTACTAATATGAAAATCAGCTGTTTGGTTTTTACGCCGTTGTTCTGGACTGTAGTAGCAACAGTATTGTGTTTGATCGTGTGGTCTGTTATGTTTTTTATTAAACGACGACGTCTAACCTCGATTGATACTTATCGTCAACGAGCGAAGGCCGTTTTGAAACACAATGATCTGATCGGAGAAGGAGAACGATGGATCGGTGGTCTTGCATCGGTCGTTATTTTTACCATCATCATCTACTGTTCTATATTTGCTTTCTTCTACTTCATTTCGTATCCCATCGAAACAACAGACGCAGTAAACAAGAAATGTGATAGCAGTCAACGCAATTCGAAATTCGATAACGCACTTCAACTACCCTTGCCCGGAACAGATGGGACCTATTGGAAAATATTCGATATGCTCAACAAACAACCGTTTGCTATGACGATACATCTAATAAATACACGAGTTCAATGCAAAGATATTAGTGTCGAACGTAACCGACACACAGGCACTCCCTTATCGATAGTCGAAACGAATTGTACGTTGTCACCGAACAATGTGAGCGGGTCGTTTAGTTTTGACCTACCTACTCACAAGGCGAACGTTCGAGTTGGTATAAGTGGACCTTACTTCATCGGCGCAGTTCGTCTTTGTCTGTATGGAAAATCGGGTGCCGAAACGGAAGAGTCAGTTTTGCATCAATTACACGAACTTGATGTATGTACTCTTTTCTATGCAGATAATCAAACTATCGGATTGTCGACTAGTTTTATCGTACGCTTGATCAAGGTCATCAACGTAACAAAGCCGTTGAGACGCGATGATAAGACATACTACGATGGTATATGGACTCCATTTATAACATATGCTGACATTCTCTCAGATGAATCATATTTTGCAGAAAAAGGAGAATATTTACGATATGATTCGAAAGAAACAACGATTCATATTCAATTTACTGAAGAAATCTATTTTGTTCAAAATAATCAATCACCGATTATTCGTCGAGGAGCATTATTCTTTCGCACAGTTCTCTTCAGCTTTTCGTTGATAGAAATCTTCGCAATGACTTTCCTTCTTTATAAACTCTGGTTCCATCCTGTTCGTCGACGTCTTCTCACATCTCATCATGATCTAGATAATAATCCTCTTCAGACAAGTCAAGCACAGATATCGCTCAATGTAAGATATTTTACAAACACATATGTAGAACTATTCATTTGATCTTTCTTTTCAGTTGGAGTCACCATCACCCAATCTGCGAACACCACTCACACTTAAAAAAGCCAATACTCGATTTCGTGAAAAATGGCGTCGAAATCAAAAGACGAAAGCATACAAGAACGCTCAAAAACGTCAACAAATCAATGATGGTGTGAACATCCCAATGGAGTCACAGATCGATACATATTCGGATAAACATTTCACTTCGGCACCTTCGGTGACTACCACGATTGATGTTTCATCCAACAACTCACTTTCTAAACATTCACATCAATAGTTCGATGGAATTTCATTCATATTGTATTAATATTCTGTGTGTTTTTTATCGAATAAATAAAGCTCAAGCTATATTATAACGATGCGAGATGATTTTCATCAATGAACAAGTGACATATTGTGCACAACTTCCTTTTCTCCATAGCATAGTATTCTATTCGACACACTTATGTATAATATGGACGAGTAATTGTTTTAACGGCTGTAACGCTCTTGAATGTATGAATTGAGGCATCTAACGCATTCCATCGTATAGAAAAAATAAATAATGCATTCCTTCATCATCATTGCTGTATGTTTGCTTCTTGTAATGACCCTTAGTATTCATGGATTTATGGATAAGAAAGTACTGCAATGTTTGGTCTCTATAGCGGTGGTCAAAGTTGAATATCCCGCTGGAGCGGACGGATGTGTGCTACGGACACAATCGTTTGTTGAGTTTGATTGCAACCACGATCGACGATATAAAATACTTAATCACGTTTTTTCCCCAAATACAAATACATTGATGAATAACAATCATTCTCTAAAAATTATTGGACATCGAATTGGCGCTGTTTCTTATCAATAAAGGTCATAGAAAATGCACCCACTATCATATTTGCATAGCGCACAATGGAATCTGATGTTTAATGTAGTTCATTTTTCTGTTATCTTTCTGTGAATTTCTTTTCGAGGTTAGTCATAAACAGATATCAAGATGCTTCGCTCTTTTGAAGACCAATTTACACACTTGATGCCGACATGACAAACAGGCTATGAGTGTGACCATGAACGTGTTAATTGTCTTATCGTCCCCTATAAATAGAGCAGAAATGTTTCGATGTGCATACATTGCACATATTGAAGAGAAGCGATATGATGAAATTCTCCGTTGTTGTTGTTGTTGCTGTTTGTTTGGTTCTTGCAATGACGATAGTCATTGATGGATTCACTGGTAAAGTAATTCTATTCAAGAAAGATCGTATAATAAATATGAGTGTTTATTTTAGTTGATACGGACTCTACAACGATGCATATTCCTGCCGTTGAAACAAACAATGGAGATGTTCAAGAGCGTTTCTCGCAGATAAAACTTAGTAAACGATTTGCAAGTTGGGATCGCCATCAGTTCCAAAATCTAGAACGTGTCAAAGGCTGCGGTCAGTATGGCTGTGGCTACAGTAAAATTTGTAAAAGTTGTCGGGGTCGTTGGATATGTGTTGAAGAAAATATTCGCTGTTGATTTGAACAATATCCAGATAAATGAATATATTCGTAGAATGACAATGGTATACGTATAGTCTTGTAGTTGTAGATGTGTTAAAATAAAGAATGCTCTTGGAAAGACAGGAAATTTTGGATGGCGATCTTGCGTGTTGACATCAGGTGATACATCGATGTTGTTTTATTGCAATGTGCCTACTTGACAATATTTGCTCGATAATGATGTATTCATTTTGTTATTGATATTTTAACAAATTTTTAAGGCTGAGATTTGTAGTCAGAAATAGAAACAAGACCACTGCAGTCATAGTCCCAATTAGCCTTTCTGTTTCGATTTTGTAGAAACAATTTACATATTTTATACACTTTGATTCATTAGTTCAGGAAGTTGTAAACACATATATTCTTACGGATATGGTCTTGGAAGGAGAGAAGAACAATGAAGTTGTATAGTATTGTCGTTATGACATCAAATATTTCTGCACTTGCGCTTGTTGAAGAAATACTGACATGTTTGTCAAAGTTTTTCAAGGTGAAATACTTTCTAATATTCGGTTGACAGAAACTTGACAAGGATAAATATTTCTACTGAATAAGCCATCAATGACAATGATGTATAAACTTATTTATCATCAATAAAAGATAAAGAAGGACATACTAATAGAGAAAAGTGACATTTGATGTCGTGCTTGTGACGCAAATGTTTCACAATGTATTCACACGTGTTAATTTATATAGCTAATAGAAATCTAGCGGTGTTACATTTCTGTCGTGTAATCCAAAGACAATAGAGAAGATAACTCTTCAATCAACTATATGGAAATGAACACGACTATCAATGAAAGAAACGTGTTAGTTCATTCATGAAACTCTAACTGTTTTAGAGTACTGACAAAGCATTTATTCAATAAATGTTCGCATATTAATGATGTCATTACTTTACTTATTTATCTCTTTCACAATACATACTGGAGCATGTTACCGACTGAATATGTATAATGTCGATCAAGCGCTAGATAATCATTGTCTTGATTACATTGTTAACTTTGCAAGCCCTTGGCAGCAACAGATAATTTCATTTTGTTTCCGACCGTCAACACAGAGTGAACGCATATCCTATTTAACTTGGAATAATACAGCTGATCGTCATTTCACGTTTGAAATGTTATACGAAGAGAACATAACCAGCCAAGATTTACTTCAATGGTCGGCTACCGTCGACCTTGCAGAACGTTATCAAATCTATTTGGAGCGTAAAAAAGATTTCGCCTCTTTCGAGGATGAGCAATACCTGTTTTACAACTGTTCATGGCCTTGGTTTGGACCCCTCTGTCAATTTTCATTCGGACTTTTCAGTGACGGCGCGTTCGGAATATTTGTTAGAAGCATTTTCACATCAAGAGAACTTATCGTTAACGGCTCAATGATTGCATGCTATTCACATTTGAAATGTGAAACATTATTTACATGTCTCGATTGGCGTGACATATGCGACGGGGAAATGGACTGCTTGGATGGAACCGATGAATCCGGTTGCTGGCCACTCGAAATGAATGAATGTAGCTCTGACGAATTTCGTTGCCATAATGGTCAATGCATATCAGCGGTTTTTCTTGCAGATGAACCTGTGAATGCAGACTGCCTGGATCGAAGTGACGAACCGCTGAACACCGATTTCTCAGAAACATGCTTCAACAATCCTTCTTTTGCATGCGAAGAACGTATGTGTCGTCCAGGTAAACAGGAGTTTCCATGTGGAGATGGCCAATGTATTGGAGAAGTAGATAGAATTTGTTTGAATGGAAAGAGAAATTTTCTTTCTAATGACTCCTGTTTGAACGCAATGAACTGTCTACTGGACATGATTGGTTATGATGAAGAAGAATGGTGTGACCGGCTTTGTCCAGACGTAAGATGTATGTCTGAATATTGCCCAGATTCATTCGAATTTCCTGCCGAACCTGTTCTGTTCGGTCATGTGCGTTTGATATTTGAAACTGAAAAATTAATCGACAATGTTCGCCTACCATCATATGTATGTTACAATGAAGAGTTATGTAAAGACTTTTTGTCGCCTACCATCTACATTAATGGTTCTGCCTGTCGTCATCTTAGTCAGTTGAATTTGTCTACAATACAGAGTAGCAGCATTTTTTCTATATTTGTACGTACTCTCAAGCACACTTTTCGTTCTTGTGCAGTCATTCCGAGCGGAATATATGATTGTAACCATAAAAACGCCTATCAATGCAAGAATTCTACAAAATGCATTTCAAAATATCGTCTTGTCGACGGCATCAGTGATTGTCTACACGGAGACGATGAAGAATACAAAGAAAGTTGTGAACTGAACGACCATCATCATCGATTCCGATGTTTCGATGATAAGAAACGATGTTTTGCACGTTTGGTCGTTAGAAATGGACACTACGAATGTCACGGAAACGAAGATGAGGCGACAAATACTGCATTGCTTAGGACGCGTCGCGTCTATTTCCCGACACTTTGTGATGGCCATGAGGAACTGACCCCCATCGTAATCGATGGACGAAATGAAACAGACGAAACGGAATGTGAACACTGGCCTTGTAATAATACTTATAATCGATGTGACGGTGTTTGGCACTGCCACAATGGTGCTGATGAAGTCAGTTGTCCAGGTTCGATTTGTCCACCTCTACAACATATGTGCGTTTTGCCAAGCAATCTCAGCGAATTAGGGTGTGTATCTATCGATCAAGCTGGTGATGGTAGCATCGACTGTCTTGGAGCATCGGATGAGCGGCAATATTGCCGAATGAATTACGCACTCGCTCAAGATTTTCGTTTTCGTTGTTGGAATGATACAATATGTGTCGGTAAGAATTTTCTATGTGACGGAGTCAGAAATTGCAAATTTCATGATGATGAGCAATTTTGTACGTCTAACACAATACCACTCGATGAAGAATTTTGTGATGACCCAAAAACGAAACTTGAAAAGTTTATATGTCATTTTAGCGATATTTCCAGAAGCGAAAAGTTTTATCTCGTGTTGCAGAACATGCAAACTTATCCGCCAAGTTTGAAAGTCACTGATGATAAAATCGAACGATTTCCTATAGCTACTCGAAAACCATTTTCTAAGAGCACAATAGATAATGATATTGAAAGTGAATGGATTCCAAGATGCAATCGTGGATTGAATATCCGTGTGCGCATCGACAATAGCGGAAATGAGTTACAACGGTGTCTTTGTCCCCCTGGTTACTATGGCGATACATGTCAATACCAAAACCAACGTGTTAGTGTTACTTTTCAAGTGCGTGTAGGATCGGATGGACGTACACTCTTTAGTATTTTCATTCTACTAATAGATCATGAAGGGAAAGTTCATTCATATGATCAAGTGCAATATTTGCCGAGTCGAGATTGTTACACCAAGTTTCATATTATTCTTCTTTATGCTACTCGACCAAAAAATAATTCGAAGAATTATTCTGTACGCATTGATGTTTTTAACACAATCACACTAAATTATCGAGCAAGTTGGATTTTCCCAATTTTATTTCCTTTTCTACCTGTATATTCCCTGGCAGTCCAACTTCTTATTCCAAATTTCCCTGTTCAACCAACACAGCATTGTCCATTGCTCTGCATTCATGGTCAATGCATAAAATATACAAATACAGAAAAAACCTTCTTTTGTCGATGTGATCATGGTTGGTCAGGTAATGATTGTTCGATCGCGCAACACTGCAACTGTTCACCAGATTCACTTTGTATTGACCAGCCCATATGTGTATGTCCTGTCGGTAAATTCGGCTCAGGATGTTATCTCAAGCAGATATCATGTAAATATAATGAATGCTTGAATAATGGTCAGTGTGTACCAGATGATCCACGTCACGAGTTAGCGGAGAATGAAAATTATAGGCACGGGTGTATTTGTTCCGAAGAATATGAAGGAATTCAATGTGACTACCATGTACCTCGATTGGATGTCTCGTTTGCAGGTGATTTTATTATTCCTGATTCGCTGTTCATTCATTTCGTTGGCGTAAATGATCACTCACCACATGGTCGAACAACACTATTGAAACGAATCCCATTGCACCAGACTAAACTTACTGTTTACGCACCGATTGATTTCAATGCCGCGTTTGCACAGTTTGACAATAAATACTACCTGATTGTCCTTCGAGAGTCGTTTATTTACACAGGAAATATTTCAACACAAATTAGTAATCCACATCAATGTGTACCCATTCAAGAACTGTTCAATACCACAATGGTTAATCGCCATCTATTACGACGTATAAAACATTACCATACTCCATGTCAACAACGAAAGGAATTGGTATGTTTCTATGACGAAGTTCATTTTTGTTTATGTGATCTTTCTCGCAATGCTAATTGTTTCGAATTCGATTTTAACATGACGCATCATTGTCAAGGCTTAAACCCGTGTGAGAATGGGGGTCATTGTTTCAACGATTATGTAGAATGTCCCCTAACGACCATTTGCGTTTGTGACACGTGCTTCTATGGATCACGATGTCAATTTTCAACTAAAAGTTTTCGTCCATCATTAGATGCCATTCTCGGCTATCAGATTCGTCCAAAAATTCCCTTCAACCAGCAACCGGCAGCTGTGAAGGTCTCCGTAGCTCTTACTATCATCATATTTGGACTGGGTCTCGTCAATGGATTTTTACTACTTGTAACATTTCGCAAGAAAGAAATACGTAATATCGGGTGTGATATCTATCTACTCACATCGTCGATAGTTTCCATAATTATCATCAACGCTTTCTCATTAAAAACCTGTTTTCTTCTTCTAGCACAAATGAATCTGATTACTAATCATTCATTTATTCTATTCCAGTGTCGATCAATGGATTTTCTCCTTCGAATTTTTCTCAGTACCAGCGATTGGTTACATGCGTGTGTTGCCACCGAACGAATAATGATTATCTCGAAAGGTACTACTTTTGACAAGAGAAAGAGCAAAAACATAGCTAAATGGATAATCAGCTTTGTTCTTCTCGTTGTTATATGCACAAATATACAAGAACCATTGCATCGACAACTTATGGACGATGAAGAAGAGCAACGGATCTGGTGTGTGATCAAACTTTCACCATCTGTTCAACTATTTGATTCAATTATCGTTCTCTTTCACTTTCTCGTGCCTTTTTCTCTTAACATAGTATCCGCTCTAGTCATTATTCTTGTCACCGCTCGAACTCGATTGAACATCAAGAGAAAACAAACGTATAAAGAACACTTTTACGAACAACTACAAACTCATAAACATCTTCTCATTTCGCCGTCAATTCTCATACTTTTAGCATCACCTCGTCTTATCATTTCGTTTTTATCCGAATGTATGAAATCTGTTCGAGACCCTTGGCTATTTTTGAGCGGCTATTTTATTTCCTTCATTGCTCCGATCGCAACGTTTGCTGTTTTCGTCCTACCATCGCAAACATACAAGCAACAATTTTTGCAATCAGCCAAGTCCTTATGCTATCGCTGAATAAAACTCGATATAATATGCTCTGCTTTGCTTGCGCTAACGCTTGATATCTCATTCGAATAAACAAACAACCGAATAGTTGCACTGTTCAAAAAGGTTATCCAAATCGAATAGTTCGCAGTGAAAACCACCAGACCTCTCACAAAAATATGTCTAATTTTTAGCGATTTTTATATTTACTGCAAGATTCATTACATTTTCACAAGTATAGCTACAGCAGTACATTTCATCATGTTTTTCCAATGACAAGCATCATATTTTAATCAGCATTTACTTTCAAAAGATCTTACACATTGTCACTTTTCCCCACACTTTAGAAAATCCACCAATATTAGCACATCATCTCGTCACAATCACATTGATCAAAGATAAATTCTTTTTCATATTTTACTTCTGATAATTCCTCTCTATCGTTCACATTTTCTCTTTCAGCAACAGAAACATCGGCCATTATTGTGTCAACTAAACATTTAAAAAAATTTTAAGATAGCAAAAATCATGAATATCTGGATATTTGTTACCATACGAGCAACCAAACATACAACACTAATAATGCAACAGCACTTCATGTTATATCATACGGATAATATACCAGGACTAATGAATCCGATGTCGGCGCGATGACGAATCGTCGGAAATGATACTTCTTCTTCCATGACGCAACTATACATTTAGATCACATCTATTCATGAGAAACGACAGCCTTTTTTCTTAACAAAATTTGTTAGCCTCTCTCTTTTTTACAGCCGCAGGAATGGCAAAAACGAGTACGGAAGCATGTCTGATTATTGCGTTAATTTGACTGGAAACAAGTTATACAACTAAAGGTGTGTAGTTCCAAGATTTGATTGGTGAAAATAGTTTACATCGTAAAGCAAGGCAACCCCCTACTTGCGTTCCTATGGTTGTATACGACTTGTTATTCAGACACTGATGATACTGGCACTAAATTTCGTGGTTATTTTACTTGCACTGCTGAACATTGAGAATATAAAGAACGCGGCCTCGATATCAGATACAAGTGAGCTGCTCCTTATATCGATTACTATCAGTAAAGACTTAGGCATGTCATACTCATGAACTTTAGTCTCAATAGCGTTCAAAAACTCTATGCTTGTTTATTTCACAGATGTACACCCTCACTCTCTTTCTTTGCGTAGCATACTCCAGATAATAGAGCGAATAATATACTTTTGAATTGTTTAAAAATATTTCTTTCGTAATCTTATTACAAACTATAGAGTGCAATTTTATGCACTGTCTGTGGCGCTACTTTTTTTTTCATTGCACTGACTTGGTTTCTCTCGTTTTTACTCGCCGTTCGTAGACCATATAAATCCAGAACGGAAGTATAGAAGCAGATTATTTTCACATTCGTATATTACAACGTCAAATAACAACGAACAGCCATGGCAAAGATCAATGCTGAACTCCGTTTGATCGTCATATATAAGCTTTTTTGACTACTAACTGTATTGGTTGGAGCCGTAGGATTTCAAGAGTTAATGATCAAAGATAATGTTTATCAAGTTGCTTGCATCAAAGAGAGTAGTTCTACCAATTTAAATGATTATATCACTTGCGATAACCGTGGTTGGATCTATAAAAATTGTGGTGAACATACGACATGCATATCCACTGATCCTTGCTCAGTTACGTGTACTTGAAAAAAGAAAGTATATTTCATTTCATGTGTGTGTTTTGTCTCTCGCGAACATAGTATCAGATGTTCGAATATTGTGAACAGATTTTTATAATTATATAGAAAGTGAATACTACGAATGTCGACATTTCTTTTCCATGAGCAAATCTTCATAGAACGTCATTGAATTACTATGTGCCATGTATGAGTCTAATCTTGCTTTGAAATAATTTAACCACTTTGGTGTAAACGATATATAATGAGACACAGAAAAAAGAAGAATTACATTCTGTACACACATTTCTATATATACATATCAATATGCGTAAACACATACGTCATACAATAAAACATAGTCGCGCGCAATATGTCTTTGTATAGATGAGTGGTAAAAATATCCCACTCATTGTATCTTCCCCACCATCATAGCCGTTTACTGCGACGCAGTAGAAGGTTTGAATGATAAACAAGGTCTTCCACTCCGTATATCTGTCGACAACGAGCGTATATATACTTTCTAAACGACACCATGGTGCATCTCATTTACTTTACACTCTTTTCTTCTCAATAACAATGTCGAAAGTCAACAACAAAACTTTTTTGGTTATGCTGCTGGTCTTGTTGGCGACCAGCTGCATGATTGAAGCAACATCGTTCCGCGATTTGATTAGCAAAAGTAGTTTAAATAGTATTGGAAAGCGAGCTGCTTTTTGTCAAGCTGGTTGCACTGCTTGCTTATGGGAAGGTGGTTCTACAGGTGGTTTGAACGGCTATGTCACTTGCGATGGTCGTGGTTGGGTTTATCGCGATTGTGGTGCCGGTACTAACTGTAAGAAAGCTGCGAATTGTCAAGTTTATTGTGGTTGAAGAATCGGAGATGTTTGCTCATCATGCAAATGAACTGAATTTTTATATTTTTCTTCATTTTCATTTTCGATGATTAATAAAATATGTTCAGAATATTCACCTGTCATGCTATAGTTTGTTTCTAAATTAACTAATTTATTACTAGCAAAAAAGTAATAAAATAGTTTGAAAGCGACCTGCCGCCTACAACTCACTTTTTCGGTCTCATGCTAATATGTAAAAAGCTAATTTTGAGTCTCGCTCGATGTGAGTACACTCCGCCGTGTCTACACGTAATTCCTCTATTGTCACGAGAAGACGATAATAGCACAAATCAAGGCCGGAGGAAAAGGATGCATCTGAAAGACGTATTAGGATACGTTTGTAAACGCGTTCATACAGAAAAATCTTCTGCATGGCACCTTCTTTTATCAATTCATTCAACTCTGATTGATATATGAATTATGACACTATATAATGCTAAGTTACTAATATAATTTGATGGTTCGAGATCTTCCTATGACAAAACACCATCATGACCTTTGCTCTCTGAAGAGAATGTTTATTTTTTTTATATTAGATAGTAAGATGAAGTCATGAAGATGCATTGATTTTTTACTTTGTTTCGAAATGAGAATTCGGGCATTTTCTAAAGAACACTTTTGATGAAAAAAAACTGACTTTTCTTGTTCAGACAATTCCTCTTGAAAGTCTTGAGTTTCAGATTATTTTCCCTGACAATAACGATAATAGCCATTCCTCATGTTGAGTGACATTAATCAACTCGAAAGCTTTGTCTTATTAATTATCCAAAAACTAACGTATGACGGAGTCCGTTTGTTCTTGGAAAACTAATCAGTATCACTCAAATCTTATGGCTTTCAATAAAAATTCTCTGGATATTTTTCTCATTGACACCTCTTTAATATAAGAAAAAATTCTGAATAAGTTGCAAGTATTTCCTCTGTATTCGACAATATACCATAATTGTTGTGTAAAAATTAACAGACACTCGATATTTTCCGCTTGAAAGACCAAATTTTTTCACGAAAAAATTCTTCTCTAGAGCAAACCAAAAGCTCCACCGTAAAAAAATCGAAAAGAAACACTTTCTACAAAGTGCGGATGGATGCCCATGAATTTATTCACTAATATGCAATGACAATTGCATTATAAACTCAATGAATTATTCAGTTTTTTGCTTGAACACTGTATTCTGCGAACGTCTGGAAAATACTTTGATATTACAAGGAGTATTATTTCATTTAGAATAGGAATTGTTGACCTGTATGCTTTCTACTTGCTAGTAACTAATCGACGTGAATGAGATCTATTCGAAGTTTTTTTAGAGAAAAATATTTTCTTCGTTCTTTATTTTACTATATAATAAAAAGTAAAATATTTGAAATCTCTATCGTTATTTTATAAAGCAACATCTTTTTCAAGAATTCATTCACGAACAATATTAACATGAATACTATTTTAAATATTCCACTTACTCGACAAATCACATTTGGCTTTTTAATTACTTTAATACTTCCATCTGCTCTTAGTTCTTGCTTTGTATTCTACCGTATTACACAAAAGAAACAGATATTTAAGCAATTAAATAATCAATTTATTTTTTGTCTTTTTATCGTTTATTTCATTCAGGTAAAATCATTTTCATTCATTCTTCAAACAAATATTCTATTCATATCTAGACAACATTGGATTTACCTTTGACAATTATCTTTCTTTATCAAGGTGTCGTAGCCATACAAACTCAAACATTTTGTACATATTGGTATATTTTAATATCTGTTCTTGATATGTGTACGATGTATCTGAATGCTTATTTATCAATTGAACGTTATTTACTCGTATTTCACAACAAATTTCTATTCAAGTAAGCTTGAAAGATAGGAAAATCGGTGTACCATTGTAGTAATTTAGATATAAGATTATTTTACATTACATACCATTGGTTCTAATTCCCATCAGTTCATTCATCTTTGTATATGGTGCTGTCATGCTCTATCCGTGCGAAAATCATTTTGTTTATTACGCTGTTGTATGTGGTACTTCATGCTCGGTCTTAACTCCCGATTTTGGAGTCTTTGCATGGATACTTTCATTTGTTGTACCACTGATGATTGTTATCTTTTTCAATGTTTTTCTTCTCGCAAGAGTTCTTCTTCACAAACGACGAATGTTACAAAAAGACGTTTGGCAAAAAAATAAAGGCATGGTCTTACAACTTTTATCGATCACTGGAATGTTATACATTTCCTGGCTGCCTATCACTCTTACTACGGTCATCAGTCTGGCACATCCAACACCAGTTTTATCAGAAATTCAAGGCTATTGGTTATTGCTTGGCTTAATTTACATTCCTGTACTATGTTCGCCAATAACAGCAAGTTTTGCAATACCAGAACTGCGAGATGATATTCGTGGATGGCTCAGTCAAAGACGTCCGCGTGTCGGTACCACTCGAGCTGTTCCCGTTAACCCAACTGGAACACATTGAAACATAATTTCGAGCTGTCTAATTCATCGATCAATTTTTCGTAGCGATTGCCGTGTGTCATTGAAGAGTGTCTATATCATTAATAAAACAAACTATCAGTCTCTACGATCCTTTCTTTTTCATATGGCACAGACATGAACGTCGTAAACATCGGCATATTTGTGTTTGACCACATTGTAGTTTTCAATGTTAATGTTTACGCAGAAAGGCTTTTTCCATTTGCTGTAATTATACATTAGCTCATTAGTAGATAATTTGATTGCACCAAGGAAGTCGTTTTTCCTCGTGTTTTGCTCCACGTAGGAAGGCACAGGTGATACATAAAATCATGACATACATGCAGACACCTGATTTTTTTTCTTCCTGCGTCGACAACGCATCTGACTCTTCTTCCTTTAGTTTCATAACGCCTCTCATATAAAATCATTTTCCATCGATAAATAAAAATCAAATTTTCCAATATGCATCGGACACAATATTCGAGTATGTCAAATTCAAAGTAATCTACGCATGTTCAAAGTTAGTTTTTCTGTAGATATGACTTATCCAATGCTTTCACGAGATGGCTGGCTTCAAAATCGAACGGTTCATATTCAAGGTGAGCCGTTCAGATTGCTGAATCAATTAGGTCAAGGAAAATTCGCATCAGTGTGGAAATCGCGAATGCAAGACGGTATTTTGCCAAGAATCGTTTTCGCGTTCCGATTGACAACGAAATTGTTTTTCTAGGTTATTATGCAGCTGTCAAAGTATTCGATTTTAATCAAGCGAGAAACAACATCAACTCCAATCAACGACTGAGTTCGTTCGAAAATGAAATTGAAATGATTCGTCGATTACAGAATGAAGTCGATTATGTTGTTACTTTGTATTCATTCGATTTGGATCGACAGAAACAAATTGGTTTTATTGCTATGGAGCTAGGAAGTACATCGTTTAAAGATCAACTCGTAT